TCAGGCATCTGTAGTATTAGTTGTAGCAGGAGAATTGCAGAATCCTGTACTCAGATCTCAGCAGATGTGTGATATAGAAAGAAATGTTCTCTTGTTAAAGCTGTATTTAATTTGAACAGTATAGTCTGGCAACATTCTGAGATCTGAAACAGGCTTCAATTTGCTTTAAAAGCTTTATTGTTTATTTGGGAACTTCCACCCTTTTAAGATAACTTGCATTTTTCTGGAAAGCGTAGCTGGGAGTGAAAAACTACAGGCTGAAGCTTCTCTACGTAGTTTCTCATAGTCCACATGAGCAATAAAACGGAGAGACATGAAACAGATGGGGGAGCTTGGGCCCGAGAAGAAGCAGGAGAAAACAAATGGGAAGGGAGTGGTACTGTGGAAGATTTGAGGTGAATGAGTGCAAGAAGGGATGGGAATTGGGGGGCTGAGGAGGAGCAAAAGAAAGAGATTGGGGGTAGGTGAGGAGGAGTATAAGGCTGGATCTGTTTGTTGTACAGAATAAAATACAGAGCAGTAATTCCATGTTGGAATTCTGGTAACTATACAACTATGGAGGTTTTGTTCTCCAGATTAATGGGGTTGCTAGGCGTCTGGTTTTCGACCAGAATGCCTGGTCAAAAAGGGACCCCAGCGGCTTCGGTCAGCACTGCTGAACGGGCTGTTAAAAGTCCAGTTGGCGGAACAGCAGGGCTAAGGCAGGCTCCCTCCCTTCCCTGGCTCCGCGCAGCTCCTGGAAGCAGCTGGCATGTCGGGCTTCTAGGCACAGGGGTGACCACGGGGGCTCTTCATGCTGCCCCCACCCTGAGCGCCAGCTCCGCGGCTCCCATTGACCAGGAACCGCCTCCCACTGGCCATGAACAGAATTACCACCCCATACTTCAGGTATACGCTATTTATGCTGTTTCTAAAACATAGAGGGCCTTGCTTAAGGACTTTAATTAAAAAGTTCCCTTTTAATGGTGGCATATTGAATGAGAGTCTGGACTGTCTGCTGCATAAGTGCCCATCATACAGATGAGACATTCCTTTACCTTAAATCTAAAGTCCTATCTATGCTATAAGGTCAGCTGCATTGGGGAACTTGGTTACAACAGGATAATACTGTTATATCTTGAACAAGGTGTACAAGGTTACATCTTGATCAAGGTTACATCTTGCAGTGCAGCTGCCTTCACCAGGAGCTGGGAAAACAGTAAAAATAGAGACCAGTCATGTCCACACTGCAGGAAAGAAACATGTTTGTAACTGTGCTGGGAGACTACCAGGACTTCAGGTACTATATTGATGGACACCGGTGTAAGAACTTGGGATAGATAGATACCATGTCATAACTAGGTCCCCCAACATGGTTGGTTTTGTAATTTAGACAAGATCTACATTTTCTAGCGTACTTCCCAAGTCTACAGGTTTTTTTATTCGTGAATTTGTAGTCTTTGCTCATTTTTCATTTCCAGTACACTTTACAATTCCTACATCATTCTTAACTTGCTGACCATCCCCCATCATATATCAAAAAAGCACTTCATTCTGTTTAATCCACTTCTTAATAAATGCTGAATGTACATAAATGAAATGGGTGTTGCCTGTAAGCATACAGAGCCATAAAACGGACGTTAATGAGACTATTAATGTTGTGAATTAGGGTACATTCAGAAAAAATGATCATAGGCTCGAGTAGAAATTTGCAAATATCTGAATTGGGTACAAGTTAATGATCATGCTGCAGATACAGAAAGCATTCTAGATCACTTATGAGCATAGAGTGATGGCAATATTAATATTAATTAACAGCTGCTTTTTGCTATAATGAAGATATAAGATTGGAAACTGTGGGTGAGAATGCTTTTTGAATTGGATTTTATTTACTGCAACATAAAATTGACTAGACATGTTGTTTACACATGTGACAGACATGCAGCAAAGCCCACTGATCTGGCTGTGCATTGTTGTGTATCCAGATGTTTTTTCAGGGCTTAGTGTAGCAAATGTTCTTTCATTGCTTTAGCTGTCGATACTGACATCTGCCTCAGCATTTCCCTAAGCCATAATTTTAACATTACTTACAGTTTCTGACTCATCATCTATCTGCCATTTAGTCTTTTATAAAATATCATTTAAAAGCATGAAGATTCAATCCCCTATTTAATCCCTTTTGGGAATGCAGAGGGGAAACCTAATTGAGGGAGGGAGATAGATGGCAAGGATCGTTTGTCATTGCCCTTATTTTTTAGTAGGTTATAATTCAGCCATAAAATATTTGCCATGAGCTAATATTTGCCATGAAATTTTGCAGGTCACTTGTTCATAATGTGAACTGTAGTGCTTATGAGTACTCTGGGTGAAGAGGAACTCGAATGAGTCCTTCATTTGTAAATGTTCTTTCTTGTTAATGTTCGCTACATATTTTCCCCGATGAAAATGTTAGAAGGATTTTAATCATGTAAATTTAGAGAATCATAGATTGAGGGAAGAAGTCTAATCAGCTTGGTATATATGTAAATATAGTTGAGTTGATAGTTATTAATTGCTTTTAAAAAGAAGTCTCTAAATTCTACACATTAGCAGCCAATAGCACAGAAGCAGCTATTAGTTTTTCTTTGCTACTGTAAGAGTCAATGTTTAAAGTGCTTAAATGCAAGTTTTAAAATAGAAATTAGAGCTGGAAGAGACAGAGGCTACATTTTTTTCAACCATGGGTGCCTAACATTAGTTACTTAGATTGTTAGTCATTTGGGGCCAGGAATCATCCTTTTATTCTGTGTTAGTACAGCATCTAGCACAATGAGGTTTTGGTCCATGTCTGGGCCTTCTAGGTGTTACCACAATATAAATAATAATAATAATAATAATAATAATAATATAAATCCACAGGTGGGCACTTAAACAAGTAACCTGATTTTCAAAAACAACAAGGAATCTGGTGGCACCTTAAAGACTAACAGATTTATTTGGGCATAAGCTTTCGTGGGTAAAAACCTCACTTCTTCAGATGCGTAGAGTGAAAGTTACAGATGCAGGAATTATATACTGACACATGGAGAGCAGGGAGTTACTTTACCCACGAAAGCTTATGCCCAAATAAAGCTGTTAGTCTTTAAGGTGCCACCAGATTCCTTGTTGTTTTTGTAGATATAGACTAACACGGCTACCCCCGATACCTGATTTTCAAAGGTTCTAAGCATATACTTCTGCCACTGAAGTGCTCAGCATTTCTAATTTTTATATAGTCCTTTTAATCTTTCTCTCTCAGTAGAGCTGGTCAGAAAATGGGATTTTTTTTTTCCTGCAGAAAATTTTGACTTCTCAAAAAAACTAAAAAATTTAATCTGAAAACTGGAAGTTTTCAGGTTCTGGGTTTTGGATTTCTCATTGAAAATCTGGACTCTTTTTCTGATCTGTTTTTACCTCGCAGATCTTTTAGATATTTCAGTTGTCGCTCGTGAGGACATACTGGTCTTATCTTATCCGTTGCTTTCTTTTCCAGGAGCAGGTTCAATTACTGCATGCTAAAGATTGTGCCTGAATCAAAACCTCACATCCAAACACTTCTGAACTTTGTGGAGATTTGGATTCAGATTTGGATCTGAAGACTGTCACTTGGTCCTGTCACTATTTCACTATGGGTTTTCATTTTTCCTATCCTCTTCTCTCCCACCCCCATATTCTTGCCTTTCTTTATCTGTGTTACATTACTGTGTTGCTTTTAGTTTGTACCTTGTAGTGATGCCTCCTCATGTGGTCCACCTGATTCAATTTCTCAGAGTCTCTCCTGCTTCTGCAAAATGGAAAGCAGCATGTGAATAGGTTAACCTCCTAATTCTCACAGAAGAATGGGCGCATAGCACTTCTTTTTTGCGTTAGTAGCTATTTTGTGTGTAGTTAATGCAGCTTGCTTTTAGTAATGCCTGCTTCTCTTATTGGAACCGGTCAGTGTCTAGACTCTCAACTCTTTCTTCTTGTTTGAACTTTCTTCAGGAACTCACCTTTTCATAAGTCACTAGGTTTGTTGGACTTCTGCTATTATATTCTCTAATTTGCAATTGCAATCACTCACAAACAAAAAGCTGTATTACCATTCCCAATCAAGAAATTCAAGGTTCTTGATTAAGGTCTTCAACCAGCTCTCAAAAGGACTGATTCCCAAATCAGTCTATTTTCCCCAACAACTCAAGGTAAAGAATCTACTCTTGCTTCTGTAAATGCTCAGGAATAACCCATTTGGGAGCTCATCTGTTTGCTGTCTTTCTAAGAAAGTTCTCCTTCTCATGGTTTGTTATAGGGTTTTTGATTCTCAGCTTTGCTCTGTCACTTGTTTCTGTTTGCCCTCTCAACACCTAACTGTCTCACTCAAAGCAAATTCCTTTTTAATAAGAATCACCCTGTTTCCTCCTCTAAGCTCTGAGTGACTCTGTGTGAATTCCTATTGACATTTATGTTGTTACTATGTATTGAGACACAAAAATAATAGTACCAGGAAGCAGTAGTTGCCATGACTTTTGAGCAACAAAGTTGCATAGACAGATGATGGGTTTTTTTTTATTTTGTGAAATGGAAATGATAAAATACAAATCCTGACATTACAAATATTACTAGTACAATTGGACAAGTTGGAGTACAGAGAGACAGTATCATATCGCTATTAGAGGTGGACTCAAGATGCAAAATTCTGATCTGGAGTGAGATTTCCAACACCCTGCACTGATCAGAAGTGTTCAGGTGCATGGGGTTTGATTCAGACTCATCTCTTACTTCTGGAAACCGACATAGCTTGCAAATTTCATGCAGATTTCATATACTTGCAATCCCACTGTATACACATTTGAGGAATATAGGTTTTATTTCACTTGTAAATTTCTCCTAACTTTATGCAGATACTCACATGCGCAGGTACTGAGGGATGAACATAAATTTAACCTTAAACTTACTTGTGAGCGTTTATTTATTTTTTCCTTTTTGGTCACGTGATTTTCAGATTTTCACTTCTGTCTTTTCAGGTCAGGATCGCAGTGAAGCCACTTTAATAAAGAGGTTTAAAGGTGATGGTGTCCGATACAAAGCAAAACTGATTGGGATAGATGAGGTTTCTGCAGCGCGAGGAGATAAGTTATGCCAAGATTCCATGATGAAACTCAAGGTGCAGTGTGACTTTTAATGTTTAAGTGTTACAGAATAATGTGGGGAGAATTTCAGATTGAACTCTTAGTCGTTCTACTTTTATGGCGTTGGGTCAAATTCCCCTTCACTTAGACCACTGTACACACAGGCGTCATAGAATAGAATTTGGCTAGTTCTGTACAAGGTCGTGACTCTGACATTGATAAGTTGGGGCTTCACCAGGGAGTTCCTTCACATTCTGATGTTAGGAATCCAAGATGACTCTAGCAGTGATTTTGGTTTAATCTAGGCCTTTAATCTAACTTCCTCTTTTCCTCCCCCGTTGTTCTCTCCCTCCCCCATACCCCACCTAAAATATGGAGGCTTGGATTTGAGGTGTTGGCCCATCTCTAGTTTCTATAGGCAGAAAAACACAATAAATAGTGTCCTTAATGTGCTCCCTGAGGAGCTCTACAATCTAGGTAGATAACAGACAAGCTGAAGGAAAGGGGCAGGAGGTGACATAAAGCAGCATGAATGAGTAGTGAAGTGCGGCAACACACATCTCGTGGGTCACCAATTTTGTAAATGTTTCCTTACAAGTAAATTGAAAAAGAGCTCTGAGCATTTTGTAATGGTGGGGGAGGGTCTGTTTTAAAGGAGGGCCCTTCATTTCTCAAAACAGCATCTGCCACGAGACTCTAATCTGATTCATGTGCGTGTAGGCCCTTTTCCATTCATTGCTTGGTTCCATCTGCCAACAAGCTGTGTGGGAGACCTGTGGCCATTAGGACACGGGGCTAGCCTTTTTTGATCTTTCTCCCATAGGAATGCCATTTCCATGTCTCCAAGGTGCTTGATTCCTGTAACCGTAATGGACAGACTTGCCTAAGTAACGTGAGGTGATTAGATCCATCCAGAGCAGATGGTCTCACAAATTCATATGCTTGTCTTTTGAGCTAGAGCTCCTTGCTCTTACCATGTAACATGAGGGAATCATTCCTCTTCATTTTAATATTCATGCCCTTCTGCTGAAGTGTTATGTTACCTTTGACATTCTGGTCAAGCTCCAGTAAAGCCACCCTGGTCTAGTGGTCTGAGTGGGTAACTTGGGAACCAGCGACACCTGAGTTTTAGCACTGGCTCTGGCATTAAGTGGCTGTATGGCCTTGGGCAAGTCACTTAACCTTTCTGTGTCTCAGTTTCCTCATCTGTAAAATGGGGATAATAATACTGATTTCATACCAGCGTAGTCAGGATTAATTAGTTAATGTTTGTAAAGTATTTTGAAGCTGCAAAGCATTAGGCTAAGTATTTTTATTTATTCACAAATGTAATTTGTGACACTGAATCCTAGGCTGGTAGCATTGGTAACTGATAGAAGTAGGACTCTGAAGATGGAAAGAGAAGTTGCTATGTGAGTGCCAGGTTATGTTTCAGCTGTAATAATATGCAGAATGCACAAATAGCAAGTCCACCCACTCGACAGAAGAGTCCAATAATAGGGTAAGTCCACTAGACAAAAGGAGAATAAACAGAAAAGGCACCCCATTTTTTCAGTCAAGGCTATTGTTAACTTGCAAAGAAGATCTTTCTTTAAAAATGAAAGGTCAGTTGGCTCATTCTGTTCCATGAACGAGAGAGCCTTTTTCCTCCTGCCTTATTAAAAAACTAAGCAAGAAAAAATAAAATTTGCAGAGCGAAAAAGCCTTCTCGAAATCACAGATTATCTTCAGCTCAATAAGAACAAATTCCAAGGAGGACTGGATGGCTCAGGGAATTGGTAAGAGTTTCTGTGTGGATCATGCATCAAACGGGCTGTGAGGAACATGAAGAAAATTAGTATCGAGGGGAAAAGGGTGGAAGACGATGGTTGGGGGGGAGGCGCAACCTGGATTGGCCTTTAAATTGTGGCTGCATATAGTAAGGAAGAGCTTGTGCTTGATTTTGAGAAGTGCTGAGCATGCCTAGAAGCCAGAAAGAAGCATCAAGTGCTCAACTCCTCTGAAGCGATGCCCCCGCTGTTTATTGTGTGTGGGCATCTACCAGAAAATAAAACAAAAAATAGTGAAATCAACCCAACCCTTCTTTGTCTCAACAGGGAATTGTTGCTGCGACTCGTTCGAAAGGAGAACATAAACAGAAAATATTTTTAACTGTCTCCTTTGGAGGAATCAAAATCTTTGATGAAAAGACAGGAGTAAGTAAAACGATCACATGATGGAACAAACTTGAATCTCGTGATGGATGTATCCGTAAAAGCGTTTCCTAGGTGGGCAGTAATATCACACTGACATAGGAACACATAAACAACAAGGAGTTCGTCTTAAGGTGCCACCGGACTCCTTGTTGTTTTTGTGGATACAGACTAACACGGCTACCCCCTGATATACGAACACATAAAGCATCTGACAGACTTGATAAAGCTTTATCGTATGTCAAAGCAAGCCATTAGTTTACTCAGGTGCAAGGGAATTACACTAGAGTTTGTTATAGAGCCTGTTCCTGAGTACCTCATGTGCCTACATGTTCTCTGGGTTGGGCCCATAAGGTATTGTGGATGGAGGTGTCAAATAACTGCTCTACATTCAGATCGTGTTGGTTTAGTCTGAAGAGTTGAGGGTGAATACACTTGTATTTTGGCAGGATTGGTGTAGTACATACTAAAGAGCTCCTGTGATACGTTGTTTGCAATTCACATTTAACCTGCTTTAAAATGGTTAAGATATAATGGAAGAAAATACCATCAATTTGCTTGGGAGAAAAATGCAGCTGCGTGTTGTAGTTCTAGCAAAAATAATGGTTCATGTTCCTCCTTATTGTTTGATACTATTTGATGTTATCAATAATTATATTCCCTATTTTCACAAAGCAGAAGTAAAGGTTCTTACAGCAAAGAAATGTGACTATAAAGAACCTGCTTATAAAGACAATTGGCCACAAACAGAAAAGATTGACCATTGTCAGAGAATTATCTCTGTGTAGAAGTTATCAAAGCAAATAGAATTATGCTCACAAATAAGAATGTGGGTAGTTATGGAAATATTAGGTAAATAATAACAAATGATATGCTTTGGATCCTACAGTAATCGCAAAGGGATACGTTCTATGCCCTGCGCATAGCTAGAGGAGCTGGATGAGGACTGGGCAAAGATGAGGAAGGAATTCTCCTTCCCCTATAAGGCCACCAACGATACAGCTACACTCCAGCTTGGGAACATTCTTTCCAATTTGGGTACCCCAACATGCGCTAGCTCTCCACAAGCTAGCCCACTAAAAGTAGCAGTGTAGCAACTTGGATTAACTGCCAGATTTACGTACCCAGGGGGCTGGGTAGGCTTTTACTCAGGTGGCTAGTCCAAGCCACTGCCCGTGCTAGCCTTTGCTATGCTGGTATTTGTAGCATGTTGGCTCAAGCAGAGCTAGTGTGTGTCTGTCTACCTGAGATAGGAAACACACTGCCATCTGCAGTGTAGACATACTTAGTGTGTCTGTAGACTGGCAGCCCCGTAGCTGCAATCCATAATACGGACCACCTATGGTGGGAGGATAGAAGGATCTGTGAATTCCCTGTGCACCCTGCTCCCAAATCTACTTGTTCTCTGCATACAACCATACAGTTGGTGCACACAGAGCTAATAACTGCATCACCCTTTGCATTGCTCTCCAGAATCTGGTTTCATCCTTATGCAATCAAGCCATAGTGATTCCAGTGCCATAAGGAGGCTCTAGGACTGCAGAGGCAAGGATGGGATGTGCCTAAAACATCTCTGTTTTGTTCCTAACAGCAGCTCTCAGATCCATACATTCAGAAGGGGAAAAATCATGATCACTGTCTCACACAGGCTCCTGTTGACAACAGTGAGGGTGTCCCATTCACTGCAATGACAGGAAAGTAATCATGATTTCATCAAGCAAACAATTGCCACAAAATTCAGAACTTTTCTAGCGATACATAATCATTAGCAGAAGAGGTTTCTGTCATGTGTATTGGAATGGGGGGGGGGTGTAGTAAATAGAGATTTAAAAGTATAAGTTTGACTGTTCAGATTTCAAAAAGCAAAGACTAAAGGCTGGTCCATGAGCATCTGGTATAGTAAGTCACAAGAGATTTCGTCACTTTGTGCTATTTCTGCCCTGACATGCTCACATATGATTCCCCCCCCCCCACACACACACACTGCATTAAAAGAAATCTAAGCAAAACATGATTCCACCTAGAAAATAACGACACAACATTCTGGCAAACTGATTTTGATCCTAATTAAGAAGATCTTTACAGTAGTTGAAGCCCTGTCTTGAATTTTAAAAGGTTTTTTATTTAATTTATTAACTATTTAACTATGTAATGTGATGCCAGAAATAAAACCGAGCTGGTGATAGATGGAATTAACTTTGATCATACAAATTAAGTAGCATATAATCATTGTCATTGACCTCATTAGTACATAATATGCCTAGTTTATGATATGGTCATCTGGACAGTATTCTGTATGGACACAAATGCAATACATATACTGTATTACACACAAAAAATGATGTTACAAGGACATAAATAAGGTTACAAAGCAGAGGTGATGCATGGGGGGGGAGCACGACTCAAGCTGTTGGAGGAAGGAGACGAACCTTTAAATTGTGCTCCCCAATATCAGCAGGTATCAGTCATCTGTGTTGCAAAGTCAAGCACTAAAAAAGTTAGGAAATGCCAGAATTAAGATTGCCTTAATTCAGCTACCTTGTGTGTAGATATTATGACAGTCTTTTGTTACATGATCACATGTTTTTTTCAGAGGATCCCTCCCTCACTTAGTGCACAAGAGGAACAATGCTCACATAATGAGCAGCTATTCAATATGTTCTTTTCTCCTCATTGTTCAGTATGTGGCCCCATGCCTTATTTACCACACACTGTTGAAACTTAACTGCGGGGCTCATCAATATATTATCTGAGTGCTTCACAAATATTAATGCACTTATTTTCACAACATGCCTGTGAGGTGAGGTGATATTATTGTGACCAAAAAAGCACCCCTGTATTCACACCACACACACTGTAATAACTCACTTATTATAATATCATGGTGAAATACATGTAGCAACATTATATGAAAAGTTATGAATTCCCCCTATATGATGATACTAGCACATGTTCAATGCCAAACAGCTCTGCCTAGGCAAAAGTAGTTAAAAAGGTCTGTCCTAAACAGAGGAAAGTTTCTTTATCTCAGTTTCTATATAAGTAGTAAACAGAGTCGTCAAGACAGCAGGGGAAGGAGATGGCAGGAAACAGAACAATTTGCATTTTAGTAAATGCAAGTGGGGGAAGAAAGAGCAGGGAGCCTCCTTCACCACCTGACTTAATGTTGCCTTCCTCATGGTTTGGATAAACATTGTTTTGAGGGGTAACCTTCAGAAGAATCCACTTCAAAGGTTCATTGGACTATAAAGGAAAGAGGCAGAAAACCCCAAGTGCTCTGTCTTTCACCTAAGAAGACAAAGGCACCAGCACTTTTGGGCCTCTGGGAGAGATCCTGACAGAAGAGGGTCAGTCACCATCTTGCTGGAAGACTGTGGATGAGAATGGCCAACTTAAACAAAGCCTTGAACCAAAACTTTCTAGATTGTTAAACTTTTAGATGCTTTTTCACTTTTATTTGCTTGTAACCATTACTAACTTTATTTCTTGTACTTGAATTCGCTTAAAATCCTATCTTTTTGTTAATAAACTTGTTTTATTTTTAATCTAAACCCATCCGGTGCTATATTTAAACTGAGTTGTTTGTTAACTCCACTTGAAGTAACAAACTGTTGAACAATGACTCGTTAAAAGGGCAACAAACCTCAAGATCTGAATGGTCCAAGAGAGGGCTGGAGTGTGTTGAGGTCACCCTGAAAGTAGTAACCAAGGCTGGTGGAAGCCAGAGTGGGGCTATAGACAGGCTGCTGGGGTCAGAGATGCTGACCCAGGGCTATCTTGCAGACAGACACTCAGGTTGTGACTGGTAGACTGGTTGTGAGCAGCCCAGGTTGGGAGTTACAACTGCAAAGCATTGCAAGGCACCCAGGGTTACAGGGCAGGCGGTGACACAATTCCTCATGAGTCTGGATTGCATCCCAGAATGTGATAATTATTATCCCCATTTTAAAGATGGGAAACTGAGACACAATATGATTAAGATCAACAGTATCTACTAATTTTGGGTGCCCAATTAGAGACACCTAGGACCTGATTTTTCAGCATACTTAGCATTATATAGTATTTGATATGTTCAAAGCATAGCTCCCATTGACTTCAGTCAGAACAGTGAGTGCTCGGTACTTCTGTAAATCAGATTCCAGAGTATCAAGGCAGGTACCCAAAAAATGAACACAGTTAGTAGCATCTTGATTTAAGTCACTTGCCCAGCATCACACAGAAACTTTGCCATAAGCAGGGATAGAATCCAGTTCTTCAGAGCAACATTCATGTGACTCAGCTCTGAGATCACCCTTTCTCTTCCTGCAATCTCCTGCATCATTCACTACACACTATAAGTTCTGCAACCAATAAAGCAGGGGTCCTATTTCACTACACAGCCTTGATTAATCACCAGAGCAGGTCCATGCACCGAATAAGCTGGGGTCTTGTGGAAAAAGTAGTATTTGATCACGTAATTAAAGACTACATTGTAAGGTATATGCACAAGGGGGTTAAATTTAATTCTGACATTTCCTAAATTATGAGTGCTTGACTATGCAACATTAATGTTTTTTTAATACACGTTGTGTGTGTGTGTGATTTCCTAGTTTTTAAAGAGCAAACTGAAAAAAAACAAAAATTCCATCATATGGCATCATCTTGACACTCACATGGGTCATCAGCAAGGTTGGAACCTTTAGAATCAGCCACACAGACGTCCACAAGTTGAGTTAGTGGAGTAGATTACCATCCTTTATATAGGCCAGCACTAAAGGGGATATAGGATACTTTTGCCAGGGGATTTCACAGGTATTTGCTTACAGTGGAGGAATGCTGAGACTCAGGAACCTTGGGTGCCATTCCAGGCTTTGGAAGTGTGGGGTGCTCTAGTGGACACAGACTCTTCTATCCATTCCCCCGTCTGCTCCATTCCTTTCAACTTGTCCTTGTCCCAGTCTTGTTTCTTTCCCACCCTTTGCTCCTCATTCTGAGTCCCATTCTCCTCACTTCGTCCCAACCTT